TATTTGGCTCTGTTGACTAATGAGTTTGCCGACCACTGCCCTAGCCTAGCCGGAAAGCAGGAAAGGAGAGGCCCAAAGGCTGGAAGGCCCTGAGCAGCCCCCAAGGCCCTGAGTCAGGGGGTGGCCGTGCAGGGAGCTGCCCACCTCGGAGATCTTCTGGAACTGGTTGTTGGACTGGCTGCACTTCTCCGCGGTCTCCAGAGCGACTTTATAGTTATCCACAAACGCTTTGTACACGCCAAGCTGGCTGGCCTGCGGGGGAGAGAGAGGAGGGAGAGAGGAGGGCAGGAGTGGGGTGGGGAGAGAGGATTAATGAATGGATGAGAGCTTAACCAGAGCACCTGGAGCTCCCTCAGCGCTCAAACTTCTAACTCGGCTCCAAGGGGCTAGCTGGGGACAGAGGGGGAAGGCGGGATGCATATACTCCAGTATCCCTCCGAACTTGACAGTTTCCATGGAAACAAGCTCAGCCAATAAGGTTAACAAGGGGGTGCTGGGGATTAGGGGGAGCAGCATAGGGTCTTTGTTGGCACGCTGGAAATCCAATTCATCATCGGCAGCATTTGGCTTTATTTAGCATCATCAAGGTCTCTCAGGGTTTGAAGCCCCTTGATGCCTCACGCCTCTTTCACATCCTGGAATTAGCGGGAGCAGGGAGAGGCAGGGGAGAAGTGGGGTGGGCACGTGTGGGTGTGGCCTGCTCAGGGTTCCGCTCCCCATGCTAAGAGTGAGGGACTGCATTTAAAGGCACAGTCCCCACTTCCCTCAGCCTCTGAGGAGCCAGGGGCCCTGCCTCCCTACACACGTGCACGGGGGTCACACTGAGCCTGACGCAGAGCTTTGCATGACTCGTGACCACAGAGCCTCGCCTGCTCCGGGAGGCAGAACAGATGCCACCACCCCTTTCTGCAAAAGGGGAAACCGAGGCACAGCCACTCAATCCCTCGCATAGCTACGGAAAGCGTTCTCTGTGCTGTGCGTGCGCACTTCCTCTTAAGGGAGCAAAGGGTGGACACGAGAGTTAAAACTACAATAAAATACCATTTTACGCCCACCCATCTGGCCAAAATTTAAACGTTTAATGGTATCAAGGGTTGGCAAGAATGTGGGGAAAGAGGAGCTTTTACAGACTGCTGGTGGGGTGTGCATCAGCGCCAGGCAAGGGTCCTAATGCATCTTCCCGTCCCTTCTCCCATGAGAAGGATAAAGGCTGGTTGCCCAGGCCGGAACCCGGCCCTCCCATCCCACTGCCTACGGGAGTAGCAGCACTGATAAGTTTCAAAACAAATGCTGACTGAATTGCACAATATAGAAATTATTTAAAAAGTAAGTGCAATGCCATAAAAAGACACAGATATGCAGTAAAAACACAAACTGTCGCCTAGAAGGCGACCCATCAAATGCCTGCCAGCAGCTGCTCTAGGTGGAAGGGAAGGACAAGAGGAAAGGGGAAGGGAGACTGCCTGCATCTTCATCTGTAATGCTTTTTAACTTTTTTGCTCTATTTTTTTACTTAAAAAGTTCTGCCATAGCCCCGGTGGGTGGGTCAGTTGTTGGAACACTGTCCCATACACCAAAGGATTGTGGGTTCAATTTCTGGTCAGGGCACGTATGGGAGACAACTGAACAATGTTTCTCTCACATCAATGTTTCTCTCTCTCTCTCCCCATTCCTCTCTCTCTAAAAATTAATTTTAAAAAATATATCCTCCAGTGAGGATTAAAAAAAAAAAAAGTTCTGCCATATATCTCCACAGCTTAACACCTGTTAATTCTGGTAGGGGAGCATACAGTTGTTAGCTACATTATTCTCCAGACTTTCTGGTTTAAATTTTTTTCAGTGATATAGCAAGCAGGTTCGCTTCTGTGGGGCTTCCTCAGGGCTCCTACCCAAGTGCTGGGGCAAGTGCCTGCCTCTAAGCCCTACCCTGGACCACTCTGGGTTTTTTGGTGTGTTTTTTTGCAGAATCCGTGCGCTCCTCAAGGACCCAAAGAGGTGAGGCCAGGGGTCTGGAGCAGCCTGGGCAGAGACAGGGCACGAGGAAGCTGGCGGTGGGGCCCAGGAAAGCCAGAGGGGAAAGTGAGAACCGGGAGGCTTATAGAGAAGACAAGATCAGAGCCATGCAGGTCAGCCCCCAGACAGGCCAGACTTAAAAAAAAAAAATCATCGTGGGGAGAGGCAGGAAGGGATGGAGTTCGTTTCCTTTTCCAGGGGAAGTGCTGGCCCACTGGTGTCTCAAGCTACGGGAATGTGCAGCTAGACAGTCGCTTCCTAAACCAAAGTAGAAATCATTGCTATTCTTCTTCCCGATGTGCACTGTCCTCTCCCCTTTCCCAGGAGAAGATAAAAGGCTGGTGCCCAGGTTGCAACACGACCCTCCCATCCCGCCTCCGGGAGTAGCAGGAGGTGAGTCAGAAACAGGAGCCCGGGCAGAGGCCTGAATGCAGGGTCACCGGCCATCCCAGGCACCGTCACCGCAGTGGGACACCCTCCCCTACAGGCCCCAAGGCCCGCCTGCCAGCACTCTTGGCTGGGAAGTAGACGTTGCTTGGAAACAGCAGCTGGGCACTGGGGTGATCTCATAAAACAAACAGCAGAGATGCTAATTCCCTTCTCTCCACGATGGATAATCAAGTACCTGGAGACCAGCGTGGAAAAGCAACTGCCTCCAGAAGCCTGGCCTGCCCCGGCCCCACCCGGCCCTCCCCAGCTTGCAGCCCCAGGGCCTTCAGATGCATTTGTGATGCTGGGGGAGGGAGGCTGGGGAGCACACTCATGACCAGGCCCATGGAGCTGGGACCAGAAGGAAGTCCCTGGTGACAACAGGGTCCCAGTGACCAAACAGAGGCAGCCCTTCCACTCTACTCCCGGGTGTGCACCTCCCACCCTCTCATTGGTCTCTTCTGCCTCCTGAGGTCTAAAGAGAGGCTGCCCCACGAGTCAGCTCAGGCTCCTGGGCCCAGGCCGGAGTGATGACTGGGCGTTTGCCATCCCTGAGCTGGGGAGCACTCCGGGGCTGCCAGAACCAGAAGCGTGGAATTCTCTTGCAACAACACCTCCTAGGGGGCCTCTTCCTAATATTAATAATAATAGTGATGATAATAACAACAACAGTCATGATAATGGCTAACTAGTAAGTATTTACTAACGGTCTATGTCCCAGGCCCTGTTCCCAGCACTTTCCAGGTATTCCTCCCAAGAGTCCAATGAGATGAATACTTTTACTGTCCTCACGTTTACAGATGAGGAATCCAAGTCACAGAGAGGTTGGGTAAGTTGCCTAACGTTACAGGTTCAATCTGTGGCAGAACTCAGATGCAGACCCAGCTGTGAGCTTCCTCTAGAACAGTGGTTCTCAACCTTCCTAATGCCGCGACCCTTTAATGCAGTTCCTCATGTTGTGGTGACCCCCATCCATAAAATTATTTTCGCTGCTACTTCATAACTGTAATGTTGCTTCTGTTATGAATCGTCATGTAAATATCTGATATGCAGGCTATATTTTCAATTGTTACAAATTGAACATAATTAAAGCATAGTGATGAATCACAAAAACAACATGTAATTATATATGTGTTTTCCAATGGTCTTAGGCGACCCCTGTGAAAGTGTCGTTAGACCCCCAAAGGGGTCGCGACCCACAGGTTGAGAACCGCTGCTCTAGAAGTTGTGCTTGTCCCTATAGCACTGCCGGTCTCTCAAGACAGACCTCACACCCTGTGCTGTCTCCCTCAATCCCTTCCACGTTCTCCCTAGTCCCAGTGTGCTCACTTACTCACTCACTCATTCATCCACTTATTCACTCATTCATTCAGCACTGGGCTGGTTCTGGGGGGGTCTAATGAACTTATGGTTTTGGGGAGACAGGCAGTTATAGTGCTCACCGAGGGAATACCACAGGGGCTGCATGTGGGGAGGGCTTCTCCAAGGAGGTCACTTCTAAGCTGGGAACTGACGGGAAGAAGCCAGACCAGAGAGGGCAGGACGTTTCAGGCAGCTAGAGCCACAAGTAGAGAAAGGTCAAGAGTGCCTGCAGTGTGAACTGAGAAAGTTCGGTGTCAGGGGCACAGGGGGCGGGGGGAGCGGGGAGCGGCTGCAGCCAGAAGCCTGGTGTGGACAGAGGGTGGCATTTGAAGGATCTCCTAACCATTTCTCAGCACCCAGTCTTCATCCAGTGGGCAAGGGTAACCACGGAAGGGGTTTAAGCAGGGCAGGCCTGGCCAGGAGTTGTGATGACTCTCAATAACTCTCCTGTTAGGTAGATGTGGGAGGTGGATGGGGAGGTGGGCCTGGAGACAGGACCCACTCATGAGGCTACAGCTGTGGTCCAGGTGAGGGCCCCAGAGCTGGTGGAGAAAAGCAGGTGGCCATGAGCATGAAAGAAGTGGACCGTGGCTGGCAAGGATGTGGAGAAAAGGGAACCCCAGTGCACTGCTAGTGGGAATGCAGAGTGGTGCAGCCATTATCGAAAACAGTATGGAGTTTCCTCAAAAAATTAAATATGAAACTGCCATTTGACCCAGTGATCCCACTTCTAATATATCCTAAGAAACCTGAAACACCAATGAAAAATAATGTATGCACCCCTATGTTCATAGCAGCACAGTTTACAATAGCTAAGGTCTGGAAACAGCCCACGTGCCCATCAGTAGACGAGTGGATAAAAAGCTGTGGTACATCTACACCATGGAATGCTATGCAGCAGGAAAAAAGAAGAATCTCTTACCCTTTGAGACAGCATAGAGGGAGAATATTATGTTAAGCAAAATAAACCAGTTAGAGAAAGACAAGTATCACATGATCTCACACATATGTGGAATCTAATGAACAAAATAAACTGAACAAAATAGATCCAGAGACATAGAAACATGA